AATAAAGTTATGAATTTTACTTCATAAATATCCTATATAGTAACTAAAATAACAATTTAATAGTAAAATTTGATTATTTACAATGTTAACATTCATTTTAGTAGAATGGGTAGACTCGCCCCATACGAGAGATTTGTCAGCAGTTCTATAAAAATATACAGTAACAGCGTAACTGTTAATATTTTCTAAAATCGATTTCACAGCTTTAAAGAGGGATAAATAGCGATTCCGAAACACCTATTAAAAGCCTTTTTTCTTTAATATTTACAAAAGTTTGACCACTTGAAAGTTGACAAACTGAAAAAATGTGTAGACTCGCCCCGGTTTACGGTACCTATTAAATTTTTAGAATTTATTTTGTCAAAAACAAGATATTCATGTTCACCGTAATATAAATAACTTCATTCCTTTCTAAAATCATATCAATACAATAGTTTTAAAGACTTAAGTGGTAGTTAAATCTAAAAAAAAATCTCAACTTAGTATTAGTGCAAATGCCTAGCCACTTATTCTTTAAAAGATATTTTTCACATAAATAGAAAAAAAGAAGTAAATTTTCACAACCTTGGCAAGGATACTACGTCCTAAGACACTAATATATGTAGCAATACAGCATGGAAAAATATATACATATTTGGGAAAGAAATTTAAAGTATGGAAATCAATTAAACCAACTTAAACAATCTAGTAATAAAATGCTTATGTAAATTTAAAAAAAATTTCAATTAAAATAAATGCTGTTTTCTTTTTAAATTGTTGATTTAAACCAACAGTTGCTCGAGGATTTTCAGTAAATTGCCTTTTATTTGAACATGCTCACTATGGACTATGGTTTAATTTTAATGATATTTGCAGCAATAGTTAGTTATAAAACAGATAAAGTGGTAGCAAAAACACATTATAATTTTCGTATAAATTTTGAAAAAATATTTTTCAACGATGTATTAAAAAAAATCTAAAATTCTTAAAACTGAAGTTATTATTACCATTCCATATTGTTACTTAAGGCGATTTCACTCACGCTAGTTTAAAATTCTACTCATACCTATGCACTACATGTTCACTACTTATGCGAAATACGTTCCCATTGAGACAAAAATTAACAATGAATAATTTTTATTGAATTTAGGCCATCAGAATATCTTAAAAATAAATTTAAGCAAAAAAAAAAACTACTAACATTGTAATTATTATACGATTAAGCTATTCGCTATTTCATATGTAAGAAAATGGCATTTTGTTGTTAAAATATTTCACAAAAACATTAGAAAATACTTTAAAATATTTGAAAAGTTATTTTAAGGATTCACATATAAGTTTAAAATTTAATACAATTTCTGTTATAAGTTTAATATATAAACATAAGTTCAATATATTTTCTGTTAAATAAGTTGAACATATTTCACTTTAATTTCTTTAAAAATCTTTCGCAAAGTAAAATATAACTCATTCTCGTGCAGTCATTTGTTAAGGATTTTATCAAGCAATTGTTCAATTGGAATTTTATCCTAATATTTTCTTTTCTTACAACTAGAAACTATTAAAAATGATTTTTTTTTTCTGTGTTACATTGGCTCTGTTAACAGCATGAATGTCCTACATTGGTTCTTTAGGTCAAAAATAAATAAAGATGCTCATAGAAAGCTTTTAAAATGTTAGAGTAATTCCACTGTCATGTGTGGGACAATTTCTAAGGCATTTTCTTTATCAATTTCATCATAATGCGTTTAATAACTTAAAAAAACGAAAACTTCATATAGTTTTTATGAAGTGCATATAGTATTCTATTTTTTTAGACTAATAATTCTTTTCAAAGTCATAAAATACATTGATCATAATAAATCAACTAAGTGTCACGTGCGGGACAGAGCTGAAATTGTGTAAATATAATTTTTGAAATAAATGTATGAATTTAGCTAATTCAAAGAAATTATTTAAAAAATCTATTTTTTTTACATTGAAAGTATACTTCTTTAAACGAGTATCAATGATCTTAAATATGTTAAAATTCATATTTTCATTGCAATTAATTTTTAAGTGTGGCAGTAGTTAGTGTAATCTTAATAGATGTCCCAGATGTGACAATGTCTCGCCAAATGATTCTAATTAAGTATAAGAAAGTTAAGCAAAACAATTTCTTTTCTTTTTTTTCAAGAAATACTATTCAAATTAATTTTTTTATTAAACCTGAATTTACCATGTTTGTTGACAATTATGAGGGGCAGATTTTTTTTCTTTTCAAAATCTGTTGTCAACCACATGGGGTACAGTCAGAGGAAACAGACCACTTGTATATTTTAGATGAACACCTTTCTTCATGAATGATTGATATATGAAATGTATTTTTACTATTTTTCCCAGATAGAATTTATAGTCAAGAAATCATCCTGTCCCCTCATTGAAGAGACAAATTTTCAACTTGAAGTTTATCATCTATATAAATTATTTCCTCTTTACTAGCATTGAATTTATAATGAATTTTTGTTTTCCCTCCATATCACATGATTTTCTTTTATACCTGATACATTTAATAGAATCTCCCATTTGCAGGTTTAAAATTAGTTTTTTATTTCTTCTTCATTTAAAATATCATATTTGACATTAAAATATATTTACTTCATATTTGACAATCTGCTGCTCTCTTCTGTCTCTGTCAGTGGTTTATTTTTTAAGCATGGTTTAGTTAGAAATAAAATGAAAAAGCTAGAAAATTATTATTTTTGTATATAAAGTTCATGTTTTAATTATTTTTAGAAAATGTTAATGTCTTATAGTATTTAATTGTTTTTCTTTAAAGTTTTTATTACTCTTAATCAATATTACAAAAGCCTATACTTCTTACATAAAGTATTAGTATTTCCAAAGTAATGTTGTGTTTCTGAAGAAATATTTTTTGTTATTTATTGAGAAATATCTTTTTTAGTAATTTTACTCAATTTATTTTATGAATATGTGCGTCTTAAACTTTTGATAAATAGCAAACCAATTAATGTGTAAGCATTCTCATAAATTGAACAATAATTCATATTAATTAATCATCAATAATTCAAGATATTTAATTTTATAACGTGATATTTAAATTGTTTTATTCTATGACTATATGAAAGAAACATTATTTCTAAGAATTTAGGTAATATTCAAAATTTTACCCAAATATTTAAATTACATTTAACATGTTTAAGTTAACTTCAACAATTCATAATTTATTAATACCAACTTTACATTTAAATTACATGTTTTATATCTGTACAAATTAAATATTCTTAAAAAGTTACTATACATCAATTAAAAAAAATCTGAATAAAGATAAATCATGATTCTTTTCAAATCTTGTGTTTAGATTTATCTCTTTTGAGAACTTGCCAAAAACGTAATCAAACTGTGACCAAATAATGTCAAAGTCAATACCACCAAAGATCAAAAACTAACTCATTTGAGGAAGAGTTTGCTCCCTTTTTTGCTTCATCAGTAAACAAACTAGTTTTATGAAAACATTTCTACAGATCAACCTCAATATTGGTTGGTCAGAGCTTAATAATGTCTTTGTTTTTCTCAATTAGAGATTTATCCAGAACATACTTAGTTATTTGACTTCATTTAAACAAAGTTTTCAAAAAATTAGTATTAATGATGGTCATTATGAAACACACTTCATAAACATTTTGGTGCATTCAAATGTCTATTTAATTCCATTAAATTTCTATCCAACTTTTAGGGATCTCTTTGAGAGAGAGCAAAAAATATCCTTCAATTTTTATGAGTTTTGGTTTATTAAATTTAACAAAAGAAAAAAGAAAACTTTTGATCAACATAATATATAAATAATTAGAGCAGATAATCAATTGGTCTAAAATCTTTTTTTTTAAAAGAACTATGTTTATTTTTTTAAAAAAGTAAATTATATTTATATAATAATAAAACAATGTTCATATTTCCCTATGGCCATCAAGCATAGAAATTTTTTAAAGAGGTAAAAAGTATAAATATTAGTTACCAAATATCACTGAATTTAAAACTTAATTTCTTTCTTTTCCAGATATTACTACAAAAGCCAAGTTCTACTTCCAGTATTTGGAAGACGATTAGTGTATAAATTTGGTCCAAATGCTACTGGTTGGCGACCAATTCTTCATCAAACACAAGTGATGTGAGGTAGAACGTTCAAGCATTCAAAAAGCCATTGCATTTAACACAGCTATTGATGTTCCATCTTAAAGAATTAAATCAAACTATAAATGTTTTCAAAATAACTGTTTTATATTCTGGAAAAAAAGTTTTTATTTTGACATTATAAGTTTTTATCTTGACATCATTAGCTTTTATTTGAAACTATAGTATTTATTGCAACATATTTTGAAATAACAAGTAAATTCCAATAAGAAAACTTCACAAGTAGGTAAAAGTATTGGGAAAAATTGTTAATATTTTTATTATCACAAAGACAAACAATAAAATTAAATCTTTCACAATGGCTTGTTAGTAAGAAAATAATAAAGATAAAAAAACAGAGTTAAAATGTGTTAACTATAATAATAGTGAAAACATTTACAGTAAACTCCCAATTTATCCTTGGTATGATTTTATGACTAAACCATAGGTGTAAAATTTTAACCATGGGAGAATTTTGTCCCAGTGATATTTTGTGCCTCAATATTTTGTTCACAAGAGATTCTGTAAAATTACATTTTGTATCCATGAGAATCTATCCAAAGACATCTTGTTTGAATGCAATTATCTCCCTCTATTTTTTCCATACAAGATAATGTCTCATGATATTTTATCTGTGTGAGATTCAATTTCATATTTCGTAACTTCTATTATTTTACACAATATATCTTCTGATTCAGAATCCGTCCTACAGTTTCTGACAAACCATTCGCACTACCCAGATAGCACACTGTCTCATTTTTATTGAAATCTGGAAACGGTTCTATCTGGGTAGTAACATATATCTCAGACTTGCCACAGGAATTTTGAAAAAATATGTTGAACTTTATGACGAAACATAATAGTTCAAAAACAAGTTTTCCGAAATGTAAAAAAAAAACATTAATTGTACATCAAATTATAATAAAAGTTTATAATTAAATAAATTGTATAAAAATATAAATTTAAACATATTTTTTATAAAGACATTCAATAATTTCATTTTCAGTTATCTCTCTTGTTAGTTATTTTAAAATGTCATTATTTACTGAACTCTCAATTGGAATTTTTCATTAAGGGCCAATTTGATGGCTTAATATTGTTTAAAATTGTAATTTAATTTGGTATTAATAATCAGTACTAAATATTTTTAATTTAAATATTTCACTAATTTTGAATGCAATTAAAAACATTATAAAAAATCTGTTTGTCAATGTTCCCTTAGTTATAACAAAACATTGAGTCATAATAAAACATTTTTAGTAGTTGCAAAAGAGCTATTGAAGAAGAATAATCATTAAAAAAATTATATTGTGTTTTTAAACTACACTAAATACCTATTAATTACACTTATAAACTAGCACTACTTAAGTTTTTATACAATAAACTGTAGCTGTAATACATTAAAATATAAACATCAAATGGAGTAGAAATTATTACTTTGACCTTACGAAAATTTCAACATTTAACAATCAGCAGAAATTTCAGAGGGAGAGAATTACAGTTTTTTGATATATTTTTGCATTAAAAAATATATTTTATAAGAAAACAAGAAGAGTATATATAAATCTTGAATTAAATATATAAAGTTCTGAAAAAATTATTCAGAGATCTTGTCTCCCTGATGTTATACTTATGTATACATTACAGTTTTAATAAAAGTGTTTTAAATTCAAAATGAAGTGTTCCTTAAATAAAGATTTATTTTCTTAATAAACTACTTGAACAGAATACCACTTTCAATATGTTGTAACAAAATTTAACTTTTTAAACTATCATCATAAAAAATATGTATATTTTTCATATTTTCATCAATCCAAGAACTCATAGCTTGGTTCATTTCCGAAGTAAAGTAGTTCTTCCAATCTCCGATTTCACCTAAAAAAATGCAAATAAAGATTACTGTTTTTCTAAGCAAATATTTTTTAATTTTATATCATTATGGTTGAAGGTTTTAATATTTATTCTTCACACTTGGCTTCAAAAACATTTCCAAATATTGGAAATTTGTCCTATGCTTTCTAAACAGTTATTTAGCCCTTTTACGCCGACTGTCACCTGTACCTGCCAGCAAGAAACGCACTCACTTCCCCGCCGCCACGCCGGTGTGCAAGAGCGTTTTCTCGCTCACCCCCGGCAGTAACCCATTCGTGCCAGTGTCCTGGAACGTTTTAAAAAATAATATTTTTGCCAGAAGATGCCATTGTATGTTCATATGGTTTCAGATACATGCAGATTTGACCTTCTACTCAAAATGAGAGTAGTATGACTCACATACACGTGGTTTTTAGGGGGAAAGAATGTTTCCGAATGGCATGCTTTATGACGGCTCTTTAAATTTGCACGTTGTATTTGTTTACAGTAAGCAGGGGAGTTTTTTTTCTCGTTACAACGTTGGGTATTTCGATTTGCAGTCCAGTTTTTAGTGGAATGTTAGTGTTTTCAAATTTTTCATACGAAATAAGAATTTTAAGTCATATATTTAGTTTTCAGATATATGATGTTAAAAGTTATTAAATGGTAAGTACATACTGAAAATAAAATGCATAAAATATATATTTAAACAAGAAATAACTTAAGTAAATAAAGTATCTATAGAAATATATATAAAGCATATGCCATTTAAATACTCTACAGAACATTATTAAACAACACGTTGATATTTCAGTAATTTCATAGATTTAGGCTGAACAGCAAAAAACCCTCCGGCCCTGGACAAACACTCGAGAGAGAGAGACTGTCGGCCTCAGAGATAAGCACACGTTTGCGCTTCCCGTCGCGAAAGGGTTAATACTGAATAAATGATACTTGAAATCAATCAATTCATTATTGCTGTCATGAATCTGCTTCTCTGATTTTGTACAAAAGCCATTACAATTTTTGCAACTGGCATTTTTCTTCAACAAAAAAAAATAAATAAATAAAAATTCTATGACACATTATATTACTGAAATATTTGCTAATCATTATCATTCTGTCATAATCATAGTAATTACAATAATCATTTCCGTCTATAATTATTGAGTCCCAGAATTTTATTTTCTTTAAAACTAGCAAGGTATTTGTCGAATTGAGGTGTAGTTGTTCAATGGTGAAAGGGAATGCGAAAGACTGATTTTTGACCCTGAGTGGCAGTTTGCGCGCAATGTGACCACATTGCCACAATAAAGTGATTGGTCACAAAACTGTAGAGCTATAACCTTTATAACCCCTTGGTTCACAAAGAGCAGTAATGAGAATGCTTTACTTTTATTTGTCTTAATTTTTGCTTCATTTGTTGATTGAATAACTAATTTCAATAAATTAACATCTCCTTTAGTATTATAATATAGAGTATTATAATATCAATAGAATTTTGTGTTAAGGAAAAAGTGATGGTTTGCCCTAATGTCTAAATGATGTTTAAGGCCAGATACCAGGCTATTCGTAATTTCTTACAGAGTTTCAGAAAACTATTGTAAAACTAAATATACAAACATGAATATAGCAAAAACAAACTTGCAGCAAACATAGAAACAATACATTTACAGTCCTTACTGGCATTTTATGCTCCTGTTTGAAGTAATGAAAGCTTTATAAAATGAAGATTTTTTAATATTTCAAATCAGTATTTTAACACTTTATTCACTGAATATTATTTTGTAAGCGAATATGGAAGTAGAGTAAAACATTCTAAATATTGATTTCATGGCCGAATGTTGTTGACTGGTGACAAGTTGTCATCGTAAAATACTGCTACGTTATACGCAAAATAATAATAATAATAATAGATAAATGAGGCTTATGCCTATTTTCACAAAACGAAAAGTTTTTAGTATCTTACAGTTTATCTTTTCAGTGAACATGTAAAAAATCAATATTATATTATTGAAGTTAAAGAAAGATAATTTGGCTAGCATTCAGCGAAAAAATTTTTTTCATGTATCATAACTTGTACTACATTAGAAGTAAGACATATAGTATCTATACAATTAGTAAAACAAAAAAACTTTTTTTTTTAATTTCTTATTTATTTATTTTAAACAATTTAAAAAGTTGGATTAACCTGGTACCCAGTCACAGATTATTAAAAGAATAAGTATCTTAAAAATGATTAATTTCATGTAAGAGAAATTTTTACAGCTAGATTCTAAACAATATTGGGGTTCAAAACATTTCATTGCTGGCGCTCTTCATGATATTAAGATGGTGTAAAGACTTTTAAACTTTCACACAAAACACGAGTCGCCTGCATCTTAAATTAATTTATTCAAAGCTATAGATGCACATAACAGATAACAGACAAATATTAACATAGACAGAACATTTATCAAAAACCGCCATCATCTTTTTAATCTCGACTCCCACTACTCTTCAGGAAAAGAAAAGAACCTAAAAAAAGTTTAGTGTGCCATCTAGTGGCCAGTTTCTTACAATGGTCTTAGCCAACAAGTATTTTAGAAACAGTTATTTTATGAAAATTTCAATTTTTGATAAGAAACAAAGATTACAGTTTTATAACTAACTTTTGACAATGGAGAACACAAAATTAATAGAAAGAAAATATCAATACCTTTTCTCATAAATTTAGCTTCATTCTTATTTCTGATCCCTAAATCATCCCAGTGTTGATAATTAACATTCGGATTTTGAGACATGTTTTGAAAAGAACAGTGATTAGCTATAGCATCAACTTCTGAATCTGTTAAATCTTTTCCAAGATAATTAGCAATTTTTTTAATGGAACCATTGATGTCCTGTAACATGTATAAAACAAATCAGTTGTTTTATAACATAATTTTTGTATAAATCATAAAATTAAGAGCATTTAAATTACCCAATGCAAATCTTCATAGCTCAGAATACAAATATTTGATTCATTTTTAATTTCCCATACCTCTTTATAATGTCTCCAAATGGGACCATATGGTACTATAAAAAGAATTTAAAAAAAAAAAAAAAACATTTTAGGATGTCACATAAGATTGCAATGTATAAGTTTCAAAAACTGATGAATAGTTTGATGGGCACATAAGAAAACATAAAGCGAGAATAAAAGCTGTGATTTCAGAAAATAAAATGCAAAATAACTTTAAGAGCTTTAAAGACGCTTTAAACTAAGTAATTTTGAAAATAATTACAAACATTCAAAAAATGATCAGCATAAGATGATATTTAAGATTGTTAAAACAAGTGATAAATAAAACTGATAACTCACAACTATAAATATATCCACTAACTTGACACAATAAGCTAGATCTGTGTGGTCTAGCCTATAATTATTCGTGAGCTAACTAAAGCTTTCGTATAGAACTGAGAGAATCAGAAACATTCCAGAAAGAGAATAAGATATATAGTTTATTCAAAAACATTTATTAAAATTTACATTATAAGTTTATACTATTTCAATATACTGTCTCATTTTACATTCAGAAATTCAATGTAATCATTGGCATTGCTTTCATGATATCAATATATCAATATCCTTTGTAAATTCAGAAAGGTAAAGTCTCAGGCTCAATTCCAATGAAACATTCCAAATTCTATTTCTCATTTAATTAGTTTGAAGAGCAGAAAAAGCATATATGTACAGTCCTAAAAAAAATGAATCACCCTGAATAACTTTCATTCTAATGGTCGGATTTTCACGAACTAAGTGTGAATTATAATGGTTCCTGTGGGTGACCTCAAATATGCTAATAAATTAGTGCTAATTGTTAATTAAGTTACGAAATCAGATACAAAATGGTACTTTCACTGAATAATTATTTTTTTATACATATTTTGAATCCTGACCCTTGAAATAGGGCAAAATTTCGAAGAAAAAACTTCGTAGTAGTAACAACAAGTAGACAAAATTTCGAAAAAATTGGCTCGCAATAAAGATTTATATCTATGGCGAAAGTTTAAAAAAATGCTAAATTACCTCGCCATAGATAGTGAAACAACTTAAAACAACCATAAAGAAACTGAATGAATGACAAGACGTCATAAAATCGTGTGTCTCTGTTGCTATAGGCAACCAAGAAGAGAATTTTTGGATCTGCTTTCTGGGCAAAGAAAATAGTATTCTTTTTAACACTTTGAAAATAAAATTTGAATTTAAAATGAAGAAATGAAAATGAAATTATTTTTGATTTTTCAATATTTCAAAATTTGAATTTTGAACTTATTATCTGATATTTTTTTATTTTTTTAAAGATGTTATTTGTATAAAAATGCTGTACTAAAACCAAATTTACATAAGTTATTATGAACTTATGAAGAGTTGTAGGGCTAATTGATTTTACAAATCAGTTCCAAGTCTTTCAGGTAAGGAAAAGAAAAAAAAGATCCTACAAAAAATTTGGGGCGCGATTCTGATCCACAATCAGAATGTTTCACAAAATTCATAGTATTTCTTTTCAATAAAATTGAAATATATATATATAATAGTAAATTTTATTTGTATTTTTATTTTATTGTTGAAAGTCATTTCATTCTGACAAATATTTAGGTTTCATGGATTTCTTGAATAAGTAGGATTTGCAAATAGCATCTTTATGAATAAATTCCGAAACTGACTTTAGCAAACCTGTTTTTTCCCTAAGCTCTTCGATTGCAATCAGTTACTTATTTATCACCAAATATGGTTACTAAAGTTTCTTTGTCTTATTCCTTTCTTCAAAAACTTATTTTAATATTCTCACCATCTCTACCGACATCTGATACGATAACCTCATTTTAAGTACAGTTCGTAAGGTCCTTAAGAAGTTAAAAATGTGGTGGTAAAACTAAGAATATAGCTCAAATATAGCACATTAATTAAGTAATGCTGTAAAATAAATTAAATACCAAAGATAATAGATCATGTTAAAAAAAAAGGAACCTTACAAAATTATTTTCACAGAAAACATTTCTGTAAAATACTTGCGAAAGAAACCTGTAATAAAATAATATTTTATAAAAAATAGAAATGTAGCACTAGTAGAAGAATGGATTTATATAAAAATGATTATTTGAAATGATCAATTAATCTTAATCTGGAAAGAAATCAATATAAACCCATAATATTGGACAATTTAAGTGGACATAATTTTTCTTTATTAAAAAATATTGATTTCAATAATCTATGCAATATGCAACATCCTCGACAGCAGAAACTATCTAGCATGGTTGTGGGCTATGCAGATTATTTTCATCTAAGTTTGCTATTTATTTTTAAAAAGCAAATAAACAAATGGGAAAGTGCTGAGACTCTTTTTTAAAACATATTCAAACTAGTTTATAATAAAAATTAAAAAGCTAAATTCTGAGAAAACTACAAAGGACAAAAAATAAAGAATTTTACTTTCTGTTACTTGATTACAGGCTTAACTGTATAAGAATTTATACTATTTTTTGTATAAAATTCAACTTAAATTTAAACAACTAAGTTTTTATGTATACTTCTTACTTTTAAAGACAATCTGTATTCAAATAGGGTAAATTAGATTATGCGGAATTTACACAATAATACCCTGGCTAACATCAATTAAAAAATTTTTTTTGTGGAAAATATGAACTACGTTTCAATTTTCTGATTAGTTTTTTGAGATATTTGACTATTTCCAGATCTTTGATTCCACTTGTACATAAATCAGCTATCCAACACATACAATTAGATAAAACCATGATAAGCAGTTCCAACTCTTCAACAAAATATTTTTTTCAAAAGAATTTGAAATTTTTATTTTCCATTTATAGATATTTTATGCTTTTACATTAAAATTAAAACATAGATTGAAAGCGTACAAAAAATATTTTTGAATGTTGCAGAGTTGATGTTTTGAACTGTTTATAAGCTAAACCATACCTTTATTTGAAAGGAAATCGTCAAAAAAGTCATGAAAATTACCACTGTAATTTGAGATAGTCATCATTCTAACAAAATGATAATATGAAACAATCACATCTTTTGGATTTCTGGTTATATAAAATATCTGTAATTTAAACATAATGTTAAAATTGAATATATTTTACATATATCTAAATATATAGGTATAAATATTTAATAAATTCTTGACATGAGTTAATATTGGGTTGTTCGGAAAGTAATTTCGTTTTTTGGGGGGGAAATGAAAGACAATTTTCGTATAATGAATAAATATTTTATTAAATTATATATTGGACATTTTGGTACAACACCTTTTTCCATCTTTCTGGTTGTAGCATGATTCCACGCTCATAAAATTTTTGGTCTTTGCTGGCAAAAAACCTGATCCAGCTGATTTTTGACCTCTTCATTTGAAGTAAAGGCTTTACAGTCCAAAAAATTTTGCAGTGATCGGAACAAATAATAATCCGAAGGTGACAGATCTGGAGAATATGGTGGATGAGGCAGTGTATCCCATTCAAGCTGTAATAGCTTTTGGCGAGTGACCAAACTTGTATGAGGTCTCGCATTATCTTGGTGGAACACTATACCTTTTCTGTTGATTAATTCTGGCCTTTTCTGTTGAAGTGCATCATTCAGTTTGTCCATCTGATGACAATAGACTTCAGAATTAATTGTTGTGATATCCGGTAAAAGGTAAAAGAAAATGATTCCCTTAAAATCCCACCAAACAGACATCAACTTTTTTGATGGATATTGACTTTCACAATCCTTTTTGCTTCATGATCTCTTGTGTTTGACATTGTTATAGACAACCAATTTTTTGTCCCCAGTAATGACGCGATTCAAAAATGGATCATTTTAGTGACGTTTGAGAAGCGAATCACAGACGTCAACGCGACGACACAAATTTCTCTCTGCGAGAACAATGGGGAACCCATATATCGAGCTTTGAGGCTAAAACCAGGCCTTTCAAGTGTTCATAAACAGTTGAATTCAATAAATTTAACCTCGCACCGATCTCACGTGCTGTTATTCGCCGATTTGCATAAATTAATGCCTTTATCGTGTCTTTATCAGCTTCAACCGGTCTTCCAGAACTTGGTGCATCTTCGACATCAAAATTGACAGATCGAAATTTTGTAAACCAGTTCTGGCACTAGCGTACTGTCAACACATCTTCTCCCTTCACAACCAGGGATCTGTCTAGGTTTTTGTGAAAGGTACCTATTTTGTGAAAATTTAAACATAATTTGTGAAAAAATTAAAAATTATATTAAAAAATCAATACAAAAACATGGTTAAAATATAGATTTGTCGTTTCTTATGGGGTACAAAAATAAAATTTTAAGAAAAAGTATTTTGTGAAACTACCATTTTTCCTAAAGTTGAATTTGTGAAACTACCGTTTTACCTAAAATTGAATTTGTGAAGGTACCGCTAAACGGTAGTAAATTCGGCCTGGACAGAGCCCTGACAACGGATAATTTCTTTCTGGCATGAACAGCATTTTAACCTTTTCTATATAGTAAAAAAGTAAAATATGACAAAAATGATGCTTATTGCTCTCTATATTTAAAAGGGCACCAACCAAAAACTACTGCGTAGAATTAATTGTACTTTTTCACACACAAGCCTTGCTATATTAGCTCTCAAAACATATAATGATAATGTGGCTTAAGTGTGAAGTTGATTTCAAAAAACTGCAATTAAATCCTCTGGCGGAAAAACAAAATTACTTTCTGAACAACCCAATATAATATTAGCTTATTTACTCTCCACGCCAGTCTTAGGAACATACAGCCATTGCATAGTGTCATGTGCAGAAAGTTTTTTCTTTTCTTAAAAAAGTAAAATTTTTTTAAAGAAGTAAAATTTTGTGAGAAGTAAAAAATTTTTAAAGGAAAATTTTTTTTCTTTCCACTCAGTTTTCATATTTTTTAAATAATAAATAAATTGGTCTTTTAATCATATTGTTTCAATCTCACACATTTATGGGGATTTCTTTATTTCAAACAACTTGTAAACTCTATTTTATACAACATTTTCACTTTGTTATCATCTATTTGCATCATCTATAAGCCAAAATGCAAGGGAGAGAGAAAAATTGAACAATTTTTATTATATCCTTAAAAAATATCAATTTCTCACAGCAAAAATTACTTTCTTTCCTTTCACTTGAAAAATTTATCAAAATTTCGTAATAAAATATCTCTTTACTTCATGATGCTTTCTTAAAAAAATGACTTTCATGTGTGCCATGCTCTTTTAGGATGGCACACATGAAAGTCATTTTTTAAAGAAAGCATCATGAAGTAAATAGATATTTTATTACAAAATTTTGTGCCATGCTCTCTTTTGGATGGCACACATGACTACGTCTGTAGCATATATAAACAAGATTAAAAAAGCAAAACAATCATCATACTTAAGAGAAAAATTCTTCAACATAACTAATATAGATAATATTAAAAAGATTGTTGAGTCTAAGGGTAGTTTTGTGATGCTGTGACTAGCAAATGGTAGTTTTTGTGACACTACACAGTGCATTTACAAAAGGAAACTAGTTAAGATTTATAGTCCATATCTGTATAATTAAGTAATTATAATTCCCTTGTATTTGCACTCATTTTCATTTATAAATAATATATATATATATATATGCGCAGAGAAATCTCTCCTTACAGACAATTTTCAAAATCTTCATATATGAATATACCATTAACACCCTCAATAGAAAAGACAATCTTTTAACGGGGCATGAACAGTAACTTTTAGCAAACAAAGCTCTTCAAAGCAGATAATCTATATTCTTTAAAGTATATTTTGTTTACCCTTTTTAAGCAAGAATCCAGTATAGGTGAGTTTTTATGGGAAATTAAATGCTGTAAAGAGATATAAATCTTTGTGTGAAGAATGAGAAGCAGCAAATTACTGAACTAACATTTCTCGATGCCTTTTAACTGGTTGCATTATTGTGAGTTCTTTAGTGTATGATTATATTGTGCATTCCAACACTATCTATTTTTAAAGAGCTCAATGGGGCTTGATACCTCACTGCTCACTGGTAGGTATTGCCATAGTCTTTGTATCATACATCAAGAAGATACAGTCTATACTCTTTAGTATGACTCTCCATTAGTGTGACTCTTCCATTACAACACCCATTGCATTAAGTTCCATTAGCTGTTCCATAGACGCAATGTTATTTTAATACCCATTAGAACCTCTAAACTGAACCATTCATTCTAATATATCAACCAAAATTTTGTTTAATTCTTTTTAATTCCCAGAAAATCACTCCAAAAACAGGTGTAAGACATTTTCACACCTTCAACAAAAACATTTTTCTAAAGACAATGAGTCAATCAATAACAAAAGTCTCAAAAAAACATAAAAACCACAATTTCTTTTGATTTTACTACTCAATAAACATGAAACATCTTTAATTCTCAATGAATGAAGAAAGAGTGACAGGACCACATATTCTTAACCTAGGAAGTCTGGGCGTAATCTATGGTCGAATGAGTTGTGAAACGTGGACTACTTACCATTATTGAGAATTTGAAGTGTATGTTGCACCTTCATTTAGAAATTGAAGTTCCCTGTATAATCAAAACCTTTCAAATTTCTTTTTAAAGGGTTCAATATATTTATCAATCTTATTTTTCTTTTTAGAATATTGTATTTTCTCTTTCCGTAAAGTGTTGTAAGAATTGGTTTATTTTTTAGTTAAAACACATATTTTTTACATTCAACTGGATTTTAGTTTTTTTCCGTTCTCTTGGTGTATGTTATTTAGCAAAAATGGCTACTTCTAACCAGTGTAATACTAGATGCGTCGAGTTGAAATCAAAAATTTTAAAGGAAGGGGATAACATCAAAATCTTAAATTGCTAAATTATTCAAGATCCTGAAAAACACTAAGTAGTTCACAAAAATTAAAAATCTAAGGACAGAAGAACAAAGTGTTTTAATTTCGTGACATTGATGTTATGAAGTAAAATTTCAAAATCTAGAAAAAAGCACTGAATGACTGCTAAAGTTTATGTGCAATATTAAAAGATGTCATTAAAAAAAAATTTAAGCTTTAATATATATTAAATAATACTTGTACTTTATTGGCATAAAAAAACTGTGCATTAATCAGTTTTATAATTCTATTTAAAGTGTAGCATGTTTCTGCCAAAATTAATCCAGAATGCATGAAATCTAAGTAAATATTTGCTCTACTTTTATGTAATCACTATATAACGACCTTACCTTATAACATCCATTTTTGCTTGAACCACAAGGGTCGCTATATCAAGTATCGACTGTATTTCATATTATGAACGGAATTCAAAATCATTCATTAGTAACTGATTCACATATTTTCAAACAATAATTCAAAAAAGACTGTTTTATAGAGAAGATGTAAGAGTAGGGAACTAAGATAATTTTATCTTTCAAAAATCGATGAAATGCTTAACGGATTGAAAAGCATCACAAAGATCAGAAAAGAACCAAAACTATTTCAAACAAATTTTGATTAAATAAATTACTTGTTTATTCAATCATATTAATTCAGATTAAGTAGATAACAGTATTAGATTTCTCAATTAGCATGTATGTTTGTTATATCGACAATTTTGTCTATCCTGAAGGTGTCCACTTTATAGAGGTTTCCCAGCATGCATAAAAATTTATAATTGAATTGGAATATTTTTATCTTCGAAAAAAAATATAGGTTTTTCGTGATGCATTAAAATATATTTTAAATCATATGTAACTGTTATAATATTAAACCAAATACCTGTAAATGCTTAAGGAATGTCATGCAAACTAGACATAAATTGTCTTTTTAAATTTCAAATGATTCTACTATCATTTTACTTTCTAAATGTAAAAATAATAATAATAAAAAAACACACAAAAATGTGAAAAATATAAATTAGTCAACATAAACTTTTATCTTCAAATAAATAAACATTTTTTAAGAAATACACCATTATTTCAGCTTTTTTCTCAACTAGCTTACATATTTAGAATTGTAATCATTAATATAACAGAACTTATAAAAAGCCCTAATAACAAATAACTTTTTATTAGTAATTGATAGTAATAAGTGTACATTTTAATTAAAATGAATTAAGACATAAAATAAGAATACTGGTAGGGGGAACTATAAGACCTTGATTATACATATAAGAAAAAGAATTGAATTACACCCAGACGACTGCTAAAACAAAAAAAAAAAAAAAAAAATCTTTTTTTATAAGTAAAAATAAATAAACTTCCGTATTTAATTGACCATAAATGGACATTTAAGATGATATAAAACTAAACTCAGCGTATAGCTTCCACGTTTCACATCACTACACAAATATTGCAGATTGCTGTAAAAGAAATGAAAACATCAAATTCATTTTCAATATATTTTTAATGTACTTACTTTAGGTTTTTTCAGTTGAACATCTTTGGGTAAAAGTGATAAAGGTAAGTGCGTCTTAATAAGGCGTTGATCAGTTATCTTTTCAATAGAAGATAAACCAGGATACACAAATTCTAAATAAGGAAATCGATCTTCAATACTTTTAGTCAATGAATTATCAATGCCATATATAGTGCAATAAATAATTTCTTGGAGCCATGTAGTACCTAAAAAATTATAAAATTAAATTGAATTTTTAATGAAAAAGTTGCTGTGACATTTAAATAAGTCCTCCTAGAAAGCTATAAGTTGTCCTAAGCTATCTATTAGAAAATTACTTAAAAAGGGAGGTCACCATAAAAAAGAAATTAACTGAAATGGCCAGGACAACAAATGTCTCAGCCAGATAATTTAACTTGCATTAAATTTAAAAAAAAAAAAAAGAGTATGTAGGGGCTTACACCAAGATAGCTACAAGTTTCACCGATCATAATTTATAATAGCTCCATTCTGTGATGGTTAGTTCTTTCTTTCTTGCATGCCACAAACTGGTTGCTATTGAAACTTAGAGATCTTCTGGGTGCAGGAACCGATACAGAAATCTTACCAAAATACAAAAAATAATAGTAAAAAGAAATTCTCTCAAATTTCATACAAATGTTAGGATAGATTACATTTGTTAAGATTTTTGAAGCATTACGGTGCAGAAAAGATGTTTTAAGTACAAATAAGAAGATTAACGAAAAGAAAAAAAACAATGTGACTATTTTTTCTTCAAAACACAGTGTAGTGCTTGCAAAACACAGGTCATTTTTAATTTCTGATCTATTTCTTCAAATCATCTTCACTTGTAACATTATTGAGATGATACAAAAAGAAAACAAAAAATTTTAAAAATTCTAAATAGATAAAACTTCTTTGAAAAAAAAACGAGCTAAAAAGCAGCAGAAATTTCAAAAAATGAATAAAAGTAGCAATAAAGGAAACGAAGGAAATAAAAATATGACAACCGATGCCAAAGTCTTCAGGGGGTACCGGCCCCGTTAGCCATAAAACAAAACCATTTCTATTGAGGGAGAAGCAAATGCCTAAATTAACTCCCTCAGTACCCCGATGGTTTTGTATAGAAGTCCAGGAAAAAAAAACTTGAAATACAAATAACCAATTTAGAAAAGAAACTCAAACAAAATCATCAGAATCATTATTGGAATTCCACAAGGTAATTCCTTTTCTGGCGCTTTTGCTAACATTTTTTTGAAGCTAAATTTCTTGAGCATAATGAATTTAAAGCTTTTAGATATATTGATGATTTGATTTTGTTTAATTGTGATAATTATAATTTTATTTATAGTATTTATCCTGGAGATTTGGTTTTGAAGAAAACTAATGAGAATTGTTTAAATGGTGAATATTTAGATTTTAAAATTGATATTGTTAACAGTTTTATTAAAATTGGTGTTTCTGATAAAAGAAAAGCTTTTAAATTTAAAGTTATTGTTTTCTGCAACTTTAATACTAATTTGTGTAATAAAATTTTTAAAAATTTAGTTTTTTCACAATTGGTTAAGATCAAAAATTTGCAATAATGTTGAAAGTTTTCGGGAAGCTGTGAATAATTTTTTGAATAATTTGAGTAATTATGATTTTCCTTTTAATTTTTGTAATGTTAATTTTTTAATTAAGAAAATGAATGAAGAATTCTAGGTTTTTATATATTTTTTCTTTTAACAGGGTGCAATTCAAGTCTTAACTGAGCAGCCCCAGTTAAGCATCCTATTAATTTGTTACATATCTTTTTCTTGACTTCTTTTATTTTGTATCTGAGCATTGTAATAGAGGGCGTTGTTTTCATTAGTTTTTAGTGTTTCCTTTTCATTCGACTTGCTTGTGAAATTGCTGCTTGACCTGGTTAAATGAGTTTTTATTTTATGATGATTTTGTTTGAGTTTCTTTTCTAAATTGGTTATTTGTGTTTCATGTTTTTTTCCCCTGGACTTCTATACAAAACCATCGGGGTACTGAGGGAGTTAATTTAGGCATTTGCTTCTCTCTCAACAGAAATGGTTTTGCTTTATGGCTACCGGGGCCGGTACCCCCTGAAGACGTCGGCTTCGGTGGTCATATTTTCATTTCCTTTATTGCTACTATTATTGAGACGACTTACTTTCAAAGATGAGTTAACACTATTCTAAGACTTACTTTTTTCTTCAAATATGCCTTTTGATTGAGAATAATTTTTTAGTCCAAGGAATTCAACTTACAAAATATCAAGAATTTTTCCATAAAGAAATTAAATAGATTTAAAATAACTTTAATTTCCCATCAGAGAGTTTAGGTAAGCACACACTAGATTCATTTTCGAAAGTTACATATGACTATTGGAAATCAGACTAACCTCATACTCCCTTAGGGTAGAATTTTTTACTTGTAGAAGATCACTACTTATATAAAAAAGATTGTCTCAGATTTCTTGTTAAAATAAAAACACATTAATGGAATAAGAGAATATTTCTGTATTATGATCAATCACCAAGGAGGCAAGTGAATTTTAAGCATGCAAATTTAAAAGTAAAAATATTTAGAGGTTTGCTTAGGGATGGTTACAAGTTATACCCTTCAAGTTAGTTCTTGGAACTATCCCCACACTACAGATCATAGACTGAAGTCATGTAAAGGATATTAAAGTTGAGCTAATACACTCAGCTTCTATTAATGCCAAAGCATACGTTATTTATAAATAGCTTATTATTGAGCTTTTTAGATATTATTAATAACCTGATTTATTAAGTCTTTTTACCTGCTTTAGGAAAAGATAAACAAATATACCTGTTTTAGGAAAAGAAACAACAAAAATGTCATTTTCCCTGCAAGAAAAATTCTGAATGTCACTCAAATTCTTCATTACAAATGATGGTAAAACAAACGCTTTATACTCGTAAAGTTTAAAGTTATCATTGTAAAAGGCATTATTCACAAACTTTGCATCGTTGAAAAAAGTAGACTGCTTTCTTCTTTTAGCCCATACAACAATTAAGAAAGTTCCACCGAACAACAAAGTTGATGCAAGCCGTTTCACGAGCCTAAATTTCTTAACAGAAGCATCATTACTAAACTTTTTGCAGTCATACTTAATTCTACTTGAGCAAAATAATAATTTCCGATAAGCTAAATGTCTGCCGAATATTACTGAAAACATTTTTAATGCTTCAAATATAAAATTCCATTAATAATCTTAGCAGCTTTCGAGCAGTCACATAATTTATTCTTTAATTTCTCTTATTTCGAAAAAGTCTTCAGTAAATTCACGATCAAAAGTTATGACTTTGTTGACAAAATTTTGTTGTTGTCATAGCTCTGCAATTGGAGATTTGACGAGCTCAATATTAAATGCTTACAGCTTTGTATTTCTGACAAAGTTTATTTCCATAGCGAATTTAAATAATTCCTTGTGACGTCATTAATATCGGAGACCAAGTTCAACAAAAGTTGGCCAACGTTTCAACAAGGTTGACGCATGCCATATAGCCTTTGATGCTTGGGGAATTTTGTAAGAAAATATTGTGATTTGGGGAAAAGTATGAAGGCAAATGGGGAAATTTTGAGTTCAGCATCTGGCATTCAGCTCGATCACTAAGTTGTATTCATTGCTAGAAAGTACTATATCGTAGTTTCTGTATCCAGTGTTAATGGAAAAAGAATAAATTTCTTCTTAGATTTTTATTTAAAAAGCTTAGCTTTTGAAGTTCTAATCAATTTTTATTTAATTACCAATGTAAAATTTGAAAACTGTTGTCAAAGAACAATTTCTCATCATGTCCGCCGACAAGTTGTATCCATGTAAGTTAACATTTTTTTAAAAACTAGCAGAAATCAATTATTCTTGAAATGTGTGTCCTTTACTATAAAAAACAAGCAATTAATCTTTGATGTTGATTTTAAAATGTGCTATTCTTAATTATTCTACATTAGTTCAAGAATCGTGATTTTATAGTCAGTGCAGCATAAAACAATAAAAATATGGCCATTTATAAGGTCATACCAATTATTTATTTGAATGTTCATATTTATTTATTTTTATCTTCTTTTGTTCTTTAAGTTATTAAGGATTTTGAATAAAAAATTAAAAGGCATAAGATGGAGACCTTTTGAAAGCTGAAAACTAATTGAACTGCAATTATAATTAACGTGTTATAATTCCATGAATCGGTTTTTGCTGATTTTTTTTCAATACATGATAATTTGTTATCATTAATGCTCAGTTAACATGGTTTTTAGTTAATATATCGAAACTGACTTGAATGTGCTGTGAAATTTTATTGAAAGTTAATTATAATAAGGATAGAAGATTTTTGTTAAAAAGCTAAAAATTTAAATTTGAGAACCCCTAAAAAATAACATACTAGAGGCCAAAAGTAACATACTAATTGCCAAGTCTTAGTTCTGACAGGCATCAGCCTGCAAAAAACAGTAAAAAAGAAAAGAAAAAAACAGATGGGGAACAACTTAAAGGGTATAACTCATAGCCACTGTTGAGCAAACCTCTGTGTCTTTATTTTTTTAAAATTTTGCAAGTTTGAAATCCATTTCGCACGTTGGTGATTTTAGTTAGTGCTACATATTAAGATATGCTAATATCCCTGAATTCAGATCAACTGTCAATTTCTCGATTTAAAATTCTGTCTACTTCTTTAGTCTTGTATATTTTGAAGATTGTTACTGACAGGACAAAGAAGAAAAAATGAGAAGGTTGTAAAATATGAGTAAAAACCTCTTAATTTTCCATATAATTATTGCTGTTTATAAATAGAATGTTATAATTAAATGATCCTGTCTTTGTCAAGTGCTGTTACCATTTTTCTGATTTCTAAGAAATATATAGCAAAATAAGTCTTAAAAAAATGTTAACTAGGGAAAAGAGTATTTACAGTATTGTTTGGAAAATTTATAATTATTTAGACTAGGGATTTCCAACTTACATTAGGCCGGGGGCTGCAATTAAAAACGCCAGTCAAATGGCGGGCCGCAACTTTATCAAAATTTTATATAAGACTCTTTTATGTTTCAAGGAACATTAAATATTACTGTCAGAGTTTTATCAAGTTGTACAAAACGAAAATATTGAATTACAAATTAAAATAAGAAGTAGATTTTTTCCAGAGAAATTTTTTTTTTGTACCGTTGGTATGTTAAATTTCACAGAAAGGAACAAATTAGGTTTTTTTACCGAAGAAAAGTACTTTAAACCCATATAAATTTTTTACGAAAATTGTCTGCAAAAAATGACAACTAATATATTTTAGTTCGTGGGCCACAAAAAAAAGCTTGGCGGGCCGGATGTGGCCCGTGGGCCGCCAGTTGGTAACCATGGATTTAGACTATAGATTTCCGAAGTGGGCACGATCACTCCCCCCCTCACTCCATGGTGAGGGCTTTTAGAGGGGTGCTATCCATATTATGGGTATTTTAATAGTATTACTTTTATCTGGTGATTATATTTAACTATAATTACCAGCTGTAGTTGAATTAGTAATAAGTATTTAATAGAATTTATAAATATTATATTTTTTATATCCAAGAATTGTTTGTTCGAAGAAATTTAACATATCAGCATGTTTATATTTGTTATTAAAGCACTTATTTTATTAAAATTGTTCATGTTAAAAAGATAAAAGAAACTATTTTTAACAATTGTAAAAAAATTGATACTTTGTTTATTGGCTGCAAGCAAAAAGTCGCCATGAAATGTGTACCTCTACCATCTTTTTTTTCCTTCACATTTTCACTTAATAAATTTTTTTAGAACAGATTTGTCAGGCCTCTGTAATTGATGTTTATAGATTTTTTTTCCCTTTCCTACCATGTCTAGCACTTTCCTATTGGCGTTGCTTTCGCCACATGCCAAAAACGGAATCAATAATTGTAACCCTAATAAATTCAACGTTAGCTTGTCTTGCGGGCATTTTTTAACACAAAACATAAATTTCATAACTAAGATTTATAACTAATGTTACTCCCGAGGCAACTGTTTCATAATAGACCTACACCTGATGCTGATCGCGGAAATTAAATATTGCAACCCTATGAATTTTGAAATTCTTATATTATCATCAGTTTTAACAACAGTGCAGGGTATACCGGTAAGTAGTACTTGTCCTTTAAAAATATCATCACTTAGCCTTAAACATTCTCCGATCTGCAGAATTACAAAACTGTCATATGGACGTTATCAAGATGTCTAATCTCCAGTACAATCTCACCTATGTCATTATGTACATTCAATTCTCTCATAATCCCATTTAATTCTCTGTGTATGTTATATTTTGTTGTTTTAGCAAACACCATCTCTTTGCCAAGCTTGGCAGTAAAAAAATCTCAAACAGGTATAGAAATCTCCCAAATCTATATTATTTTTTAAACATATGAAATTTAAATAAATTAAATGAAAATAATAAAGAAATAACTGAATTTTCTTGTGCCCAGCTAACCAAAAAATTACAACATTCATTACCAACTTTACAATTTTGAAGTTGAACAATGCAGAGATCTTCATTAACTAAATAAGAAATGCATTTTTTTTTTTTTTTTTAAAGTTCAGAAATTTATCATTGAAATTTAAAAGAATTTAAAATATTTTTCTTTTCTTACATTTTGAACTCAATTTATAAATTAGTTTTGAATATATCTTTCGGCTAATTTATTTGAATAACTAGGAGGCTTCACTCACTAACCCCCATGGTTTCTTCTCATTTATCTTAGTTTTTTTTTCTAAGTTCATTAAAAAAAATAATAAAGATTTTGTTTATATGTTAATCTTAATGAACAGTTATACCTACATTTAAAAAATAATCACCTGTATTTGGAAAAATAATATTTAAACTTAGGAATACAGAATGTGAGACACAATGATAAGTAATGAATAATAAGTAATTTTGTCTGTTAACAATATTTAACAACCTCACCTTTTATCATATAACAGTTTAAATATTAAACAGCTTTTGATCTATTTTAAGGAATAGAATGAGTAGATCCATATTGTTTAAGTTAAAATTATGTATGTATAATTGTGTAAAGTAGCATTTAGTTATTTGCCAAAAATGAGTTATTTTATCATAATTATATAAAGTCATTGAAGATGTTTTTGCAATTTTTTTTCATTGCTTTCTATATTAAGTAGAAAAAAATTTTAGTGCACAGCATAAATATGAATTTTTTAACTGCTTAAATAGTGTTTACTAGGTACTAAAAAAGCACCTTGTAAACACTATTTAAACACCATTTCAACAAAAAATTGTTGAAGTATTAGCATCTCGTGAAACCTGATTTAACATCTGTTGAAATATTTAGCTAATCCTAATCAAACTTAACCCAGAAACGTGTTTTCTATACATAAATTAGCCACATAATTAATATGTTGCCATTATCACTCTGTTATTTAATTCAATTTGTTTAAATAACTTTAGATGGTTTGCCTTTGGGACATCGGAATTTAAGTCTTCCTAGTGAATATGATTATCATCAGGCTATGGTTCAACATGCCGTATCGTGTGGTAATAACTCCTTACATTCTCAAATTCCTATGATGTCAACTGGATTAAATCTGTCCATGAATTCTGGTTCCATGCAATCAACTTCTGGTAATACGCACCATTTATCTCAAGTAGGAGCTGTAAATGGTGGAGGTAAAATAAAGAAAAAGCTAAAAGTAAATAAAGATGGAGTACCAGCTCCTAAACGAGCAACGACTGCTTACATCAATTTTACTCAGTGGTATAGAGAAGAACAGAAAAGGAATGGAAGACAAATTCCTAAGGTATGAATATATTGTAGCATTTAATCCATAATGACTTTTTGTCAGCAATAAATAAATACTGTATATCCCTGTCTATCACTATCAGTTGACTCAATTTTTGATAAAAAGATAGCAAATTTCTGCGATATTGAATGAATAAGTCAGTCACTGTCAATAAGTATTATTATTCCTACTGGCGCCATTTGTCAAATGATACTAGATGCATAGCAAAATGTAGACTTAAATGTTATTGTAAATTCTTTTAAAAAATGGAGAATTTCAAATTCCTCGCGTGGGTATGAAGACAATTTTTGGAGGAACTCGCAAATGAGGAAGAATTGGAATCCATTGCAGAGCGGGATCCATATGGCGACACTCCTAACACTATTCAATCAGACGCAGGTTGAATCTTTAAATTTGTTAACTTTTATAAATTTTTTTCTGAGCATAATTCAAACTATTGTTTCTAAAAAAATTCACTACCTATCTAAAGAAGATATTACAAAGGAAATGTAAAATTAATTGCGTATAACATATTAAAAATAGTTTTTGAAAGGGATAAATTGATACAGAGTTATTCATATCTATCTTATTATTTATACTGCATCTATATTTCATGATGAATGAATATCTGACTTTACCAGCATATAAGTCAATCCCTTGATTTTCGTACCATTAAAAGAATTTGAAAAGTTGACTTTACAGTATTTCAATTTATGTTTACTGAAGTATGAATGCCTTTAAAACGTATATATGTAGTTAATGAGGGTATTTATGTCATTAATCATTTTTGCTTAATCTGAAAATAATTGTCAAAACATAGCTTTAATGCGACTGTTATAGTACAATATTTATATAAGACAATAGAAAAATGTGTTTTTCTTCAAAAATTTTTTCATTCATTTATATTTTAGAAGTGGTTTGATAAATTTTAAACGTGGTTCAAATTTAAATATTTTCTAATTTTTTGCATGTGTTAAGTTATATTTGTATTTTGACAATTACTTTGTAATCAGTTATTGTTTAAAAATCAATTTAGAAGTCGTCAAAATTAATTTGGAGCTGTGGTGGGCTAAATTATACATAAATACCTTAATGTGTTAAAATAATGAATAATGAATTGTTTTGTAAAGAGAAATTTAAGAAATTAATATTAATGTTTTCTGGTCTAATTTATTAATTAGTGGCTCTAAAGTTCATGAGGTTGTTAAGCTTGAATTAAAATATCTATGATTTCATTTATGCAATAATTAGTTTGTAATAATTAACATTATCAATTTTGTTTGAAATTTTTATTTTTTTTTATTTTTTTAAAAAAGTTTTCATGCATGAAAGCGAGACGGAAAAGAAGTAAGGCTGGTAATAAAACCATTTCAGTTATAACTAGTTTTCGAGAGGAGTTTACTTAATCTTTTTTTTTTTCAAACTGTTCAACAATATCTACTAAAGTAGATATTGTTGAACAGTTTTTATCATGGAAAAGAAGCAGTTTTATATATCTGCCACAATTCTAAAAGAAATCTTGATAGTTACAGATATTTTATTTTTCTCGAAAAAAATGCTAAAATGAAATGTCTTTCGTACCAGTTTTTACTCTTTTCCATCTTGCTATATAAGGGCTTTCAGCCATGTTTTCATGTTGAATTATATGTTTTATTAATGTGCATGAAGTTTTATGTATTATTAATGTGCAATAAATTAATGTTAAAAAAAAGTATTTAAATATTTAAAAAAATTCTGATTCATAACAAAAAAAAATTTTTTTTCTTCCCTTTTTTAAAATATATTTTCAGAATGAAGTTTATTTTAAGAAGTCCACAAATTTAAATTGTTACTTTTAATTGAAAAATTAAATATTAATATTAACATGTTAGTACTTAGAAATTAATTGGTAATTATTTTTTTTTAATTTAAAATACTGGATTCTAAAAATTCAGTTTTTGTAATTAAAAAATGTAGCATTTCTAAAAAAAAAAAAAAAATTTTTTATTTTTATTTATTTAATGTTTATTTTAGATTGGAGAATTTGGAAAAGAGTGTGCTGATAAATGGAATGGTATGACAGGTGATGAAAAACAGCCATTTCTTGAAGTTGCTGCACGTGACAGAGAACGTTACAGAAAAGAGGTAAATGTTTAAACAAACAAATAATTTAGTCATACCAGTTTTGAAATCACGTGCTTATCTGCTATAAACCATGAAACACTTGAAATCTTGACTTACCAATAGGAAATGGTTATTCAGATAGAATGTATCACTAAATATCAATTTCATATTTAAACTGCAAACTTTAAACATTTTTCTTGCTTGATGACTCAGAACTTAAATTTATATAAAAATAAGATATATAATGATATAAGAAGATACTTGTGATGTACAGGGTATCTGCTAAATTTAAAGTTATGTAAATACATGATTTTCCATGACTTCTACCAATAACTTTCCATGGCTTATACATTATTTCACAATAATACCACAAAGTTTCCTAAGGAAATGATTCGAAATCGCAACATTAAAAAACATGTAGTTTAATTTAAGCAAGTAGTATTTTTAAAAAGTGAATGAAAGACCAAAATAATGTTAAATAATATTAAGCGTAAAACTAATTATTAGAGTGAAATGAATTAAGAAGTGAACAAAATAATGTTCTCCTGTTACAAATTGATTTAAATTGCAACTGATAATAAATAGGTAAATTAATTGTAACTAATTTTAAATATTAAGAAAAGAAAAGCAAACCGAGATCAATTGATAATAGTGATAGTAAAATGAACTCAACAACAATGTGAAACTAATAGCTCCTGCAATGAATCAATCAAAATTACGCTAAAATAGTGATAGTAAAATGAACTCAACAACAATGTGAAACTAATGGCTCCTGCGATGAATCAATCAAAATTACGCTAACCAAAAATTAGGCTAATGAATATTCACTATTAACAAAAACAGAAAAAGCAAAATAACGTTAAATGATATTAAATAACTAATTAGATGGAAATCATTTGAGAAGTGAACAAAATAGTTTCCACATCCTCACATATCCTGTATATAACACTCTGTGCAAAAAGCCTGGTTTGCACGACTATAATGGTCTTCATGATTAGGACGCATTAATACTGCTTCACTAACTAAGAACTAACAATTTTATATGAGTAAGTAATAAAAGATTTGACTTTAATTGCATTAGCTTTAAATGCTCTAAATAAATAACTCTATAACTGTTTGTTGTACCAAGTGTTAGGGTGAAAACTACAGGACTCCAAAAATAAAACAAAATCTTTTTCAAAATGGATGCTTCAAAGTTTTAGTAAAATATCTACAATATTTAGATATTAATTTGAATCTAATTACTACTTAATGAGAAATCAAAATGATTCTACAAAAGAATTTGATTTCATTTTATTAAGATATTTTTATAGATTCCATTATTTTTATTACAATTTCTGCAGGATTATTAAATCTAATTAAGTTTTTATTCTGCTTTAGATGGCGATATTTAAACCTGCCAGAGATGCTAACAAACCAAAACGACCTGGTACAGCTTTCATGCTGTTTATGGGAGATTTAAGAAAAGAAATGGCTGGAAAAGAGCCTGAAGGTGGTGTTGCAGCTTTAGCAAAGCTTGGTAAAAATATTTTATTTTTTCTTGACTGTTATTTGTAAAAATGATTCTAGCATTATCCCTCTTTATCCTGAGTGATATATGACTTTATTTTGAAATTAATTCATAGTTATAAAATTTCATTGCACCATAAAGAAGCAGGAAGAACAATTAACAGTGAAAAATAAACATTTGAAAATTAACAATAAGCCAATTTAAAAGTAAGCAATAAGCAGTTTTAAAGGTGATAAAATTTGACTAACATTCATAAAGGACAAAGTGCAAATACATTTGTAATCTGATCATTTAGAGTTCATTATTATTATCTTCTTTCTTGTAATGACAGGTCAAAAAATGACTTGAATTCATAGTGTCTGCTTAGCCACTCCTCATGCTATAAGTCTATTTTGAGTCCTGAGACTCCTGCTTGATGCAGAAAGTGATATAATAACATATTTTCCACTGATTAAAATTACTAAATCAAATTAATGAATTAGAAAAGACTGGTTGGTTTTAAAAGACATGATCAAATAGTGTAAATCAACAGATTCTTATTTATTATTGCACTGTTTATTTCAGATTAAAATTTCCTGTTTTCGTATGTAGAATTGAATCTAAATAAAAAAAAACTTTCTATTTATAGTCTGCCTTTCTGATTTTAAAGGCTTCCTGGCAAAACTGGGACAAATTTATCAGTTTTTATTTCAGCTAATGGGATTGTTTTGAGGAGAAAAGAAAATATTTTTAAATTTCTCAATGTCTCGCAATTTCATATATTTTTTGTGGCTTATCAGTGGAAAAAAATAGCTTAGTTTTTATATTTAAGGATTTTTTTGAAAAAAATAGTAGATAATAAACTTTTTGAAAGAAGTGACTTGGTGCTAATCACAATAAAGTACTGTTCAAGAAATGCAATTTTTTTTTATTTATTTATTTTTTTTGATTGTAAATTTATTATGTAGGTGGTGAACGCTGGAGAGGTATGACAGATGAAGATAAACGCAAATATATTGAAAAACAAGGAGAAGAAAAAATTCGTTATGAAGCAAACATGGAAGAATACAGAAAAAAGGTAAGTGAGTACTTAAGAGTGAATAATGGGAATTAAAAACTATTGAAAAATATGGCAGTATGCAATGCGCAATTTTGATGACTAGCAAGTGGGAAATTGCTAATTTAAGTAAATCAAAAGCTAGTTACAGCAAAACATGTTAGCGAAAATTGCTGGTAATCTCTTATAGTCGTAGACTGGAGATTTATATTTGCATTAATCCTTGTGAAAATTCACCTGGGGTTTTTTATCCTTTTTTTTTTAACATTGTAACCATTTATGTTTTTCAAATTTCAATGTTGTTTATACGGCTGCACTCTAATTTCGTGTGTCTTACTAACATTGATATTATTAAAGCATGCAATTTTAATTTAGTGATTATTTTTAAATATGCTCGATTTGTGATGCTTCCACCTTAAATCTACATTGTTTTTCAGCAGTTATTTGTCCCTTTTTTGGAAATTTCCAAGTGGATTTTCATATTTTGGTATTTGAATATGCTATAATTACAATACGAGAGTTTTAAATTTGACTAAAGAAATCAGTTTCTTGTGATGATTCTCCCTGCGATTGAAAAATAATTTAAATTTAAAATTTCATCCATTGTTAAAGATATAAGAAAACTAGACTTAAAATTGTCCAAAAGGTTTTTTCAAAGGAAAGGGAGTTTGAGAAAATAAAATAACTTTTTTTTATCACCCCCTTTTTCTCAGAAGAATGATTAATTACTGCTGAATCAGTATTGGAGTAAAAATGCTACCCCACCCTTTTTATAGAATCATTTTCTAATTTTGTCATTTTACACCTCTTTTTCATCATAAGTCAGTAGCAGGGACTTTACCTCATGGTCATAAACATTGGGTGTCTCACACATAGACTGCTGAGGGAGCGAAATTTTTAAAAGAAATGAAATCTTTCTTCCACATTACAATTTCATTTATTTATTTTTTTAGTAAAAGAATCTACTTATACACTTGCTGAACTCCAAAATATGCCTGATATATAAAAGTTAAATACTACTGTGAGTATCCCGTTGTGGCTCCTATTCTAAAAAAATATTGTAAATTTATTTATTGTATTGAAATTTATTTGCGTTCATTGTCTGTTATAATTTTTTTAAACTTTGTATCTAAAATGATATGTGATTATTGAAGTTGTTTAAGGGGTTCAACATTGTGTGTTATTTTGGCTTCTTTTACTAACATTTTCTTCTGTTATTGTAACAGAGACAATCTTTTTCATTTTTTCTTTCATTTTCTAAAAGTAGAGGCCTGGGTGCCACTCTTCTGTCAGAGTGGTGAAAGTTTTTTCCCTCAATACATTTAATTTTTGCTTTTTACTAATTTTTGTTTGAAATAAAAAGAAATCACAGTTTTCATGCGAAGTTTTATCTAAAAATACAAATTAATTAACTTGTATTTTATTTTTAGATTGCTGTCAATCCTTTTAACGGCTATTATTCAGGGGTTATTCCCTAATTTTTGATTATATAGTTTTGATTTATTGTTTGTTTTGAATGCTTATATCATATTTTAATTTCTTTTAATAATGATAAAACTTATAAGAAATCACAAACATACGATAGTCAATTTAGGGACTCTTCACTAAATACTCATTATTCAGACTTATCTTCTTTCAGTCTTTTAGTCATCTTATAAAAAAGAAACTCAGCATTTTTGCTGTTGAATTTTTTTCATAATATATCAGATTACTAATTGGAAAACGATGAAAGTCATGAACAGTTTTGACTATTAAATTGCAGTGAAAACATTGTTCTCTTTTGTTATGCATTTCATTTATTTCAAAATCAAAAGTACTTTTAAATATCCATTTACTTTAAGTTACGGTTTAACCCATTTACTTTAAGTTACGTCTTTATTTTTATTGTATTGATCTTTTTTCTTAGTACAATGTATTACGTTTTCTTATAATTTTTTTTAAATACATTTATTCTTTTCTTTCTAGATTATTTACAATTTAATTTTGAATTAGTTTATTGTTGCGTGAAAATAACTATAATTATCAGTTATTTTTTAAACTTTTTTGATCTATATTTATATTGAGGAAACAATTTCCTAAGTCAAGATAATTCAGGTTCTGAGAGTTCTGAGATAATTCACATTCACGATATTGCAATCTTATTTTAAAATCATGTTTGATCACTTGTTCCTGTCTCAATTTTTTTTTATTTGAAAATATTGAATTTTGTCTGTTTTTTTATTTATTTTAAATTATATGGAAATTTTTTAAAAAAGTATGTCGCAGTAAACAGAATTTTCAAAGTAGTGGATTACACTTTTTTTTTTGTCCTTTGTTTTCCCATCTTAAAAATAGTTTGTATGTATCACAGCAAAAAAAGTGCTGATTTTAACCTGATTATTTTCAACCACTACATATCCTGGAAAATAGTACATTTTTTAAGGCCTTGAATAATGAAACCCTGACAGTCCTCAAGATAAATGGTTCAATAGTAAGACTCTTTAATTCATAATTTGCAATGTATAATGAAAATAGAAAAAAGTAATTTGGCAAATGTAATTTAGATAAGGTGAAAAACTAAGTTAAATTTTATTAGAAATTTTTTTTAAATATCTTTATTGTAATATGTGTATGTTTTTTAATAAATAAATTTTTTTATTCCATGATATAACAAAACAGTTATTTTGAACAAAACTTTGGAAATCTTGTATTTTGTCAAATTTGCCATATTTACTGTAATTTTAATATAATAGTATGACGCAATGTTTTTTGTGAGTCCAAATATTTAACATTAACCATTCAGTAGTTATTTCATATTGCAATTTGTCACACCATTATGATTTTGCTGCATTTTCTACATCACAAAATGAGAAGGTAATCTCGCTTTAAGAATACTATACTCCATTTCACCTCAAATTAGCGCTGGACAGAAAGGCAGATAGACCGGATTGCAACCGTTGTCATGGAAACTAGGTTACTCTTTAAGTTAGTTGAGGGCATAAGGTAGGAAAAAGGAGGGAAAGTGGCCAATATTCAGGGGTCTGTCCAGGCCAAATTTACTACCGTTTAACGGTACCTTCACAAATTCAACTTTAGGAAAAATGGTTGTTTCACAAATTCAAACTTAGGAAAAACGGTAGTTTTACAAAATACTTTTTCTTAAAATTTTATTTTTGTGTTGATTTTTTAATATAATTTTTAATTTTCACAAATTATGTCTAAATTTTCACAAAATAGGTACCTTTCAGAAAAACCTAGACAAACCCCTGATATTGGTATTAAGGAAAACAAAGTGCTATTTTTAAAAAAAAAATTTTTTTACCAAGAATCTTACTAAAATTTTGAACAGAATACAGAAAAGAACAAGATTTTAGAGCATTTCTAAAAATAATTGATTTGAAATATTACTTGTAAGCTCATTTCTTATAATGATTTTTAAAAACAGATTTTTCTTATTATGATTTTTAAAAAACATATTCTTATTAATATTTTTAAACTAAGCAAAACAAAATTATATTTACGAAGATAATTTTTTTTAATTAAATCTAAGTAAAAAAAAACGCACAAATTCTCAGAAATACTTTACTTTGGATACTTATTTTTGTATGCAACCCTTTTTTTTTTATAGATTTATGTATATTAATTTATCCCACATTGGTGTTTAGTGGGGGAAGGAAAAGTCAACATATGCATGAAATCATTGAGCATGAAAAAGATCATATGTATGTCTCATAATATATACTGTTTATTTTTTTTTTAAATAAAAAAATCACAATCTTTTCTGAAAAGTTTTTTTTTATTTATTATAAAAGTAAATTTTTTTGTTTTTTTTGAAATATATTTGCTTTTATGAAACAAAAGAACCTACCTAAAATACTTCTCTATAAGAAATCTCTTTGTAAAAACCTTTCTATAAGAGAAGATTGCTTTTTTCTTTTCTTGAAAGAAAATCCCAAGTCTTTAAGAATCCAATAAAAAGCTTAATAAATTGCTACTAAAACAAACTAACAATGGATAACTAACAAAAAAAACAAGATAACATTTAGTAATTAGCAAAAAAAAAATAATAATAAGTATTTTCAAGCCAAAAATAAATAACTAGCTAAAAAAAAATCAACAGTTAATAATTAATAAAAAACAAAACAATTAAGCGATGCGAGCTGGCTGACCAGTACAAACATCGTCCTCGGAAACTAATTCATTGCCAAACTAAAACACCTTCTTTGTACATTAGCTTTCCTGACAAGGTGTTTATAAGTTAAATACATTTAAGCATGATAAAACTTCTAATACATGTTTCAAGATAAACTTTTCTTATTATACAACATTTATTTATATTTGTACTCACATTTAAACTAATTAATTCCGAAATAGCGAAGAACTACTTTTCAAAAGCATAGTACAGTCAAACCCCGCTATAGTGAACCTTCAAGGGACCGAAATTTTGGTTCACTATAACCGGGAGTTCACTATATCCGTTATGCGGGCAATTTAACTAATGGTTCCCAAATTCTTCCCTTTTATTACACGTTATTCAAATAANAAAAAACGAAAAAAAAAAAAAAAAAAATAGTAATCTTTAGCTGTTGAGCAGTCCTCAACATCAGATATGGAAACATTTCCAGACTCTCAGATAATTTTTCCTGAATTTCAGTTAGTCCACTTTTTAAACTTGTCTAACCTGCCATTCGAGCACATCAAAGTCACCTCATAAAATCACTTAGCAAATTCATCGACAGTTGTCCATATACTGGAAGATTGCGGCTTCTTTGAATGCTGAACCACTTAAGTAATGCTTCTTTAATATCCTTGTGATCTGCTTTTCTCAACTTTTTTCTGCCATTTAAATACTTTTCATGAGCAGAAATTGTTAATTGCTTATTTTTCCATATGTTACAAACTGTAGATTTGGATAGTTTATATTCCCTGAAAATATCAGCTTGGCACCTTACAGGTGCATCATCTGCCTGGGTTGGAAGCATCTACTTGATTTGTTTAGGGATGGGAAAGTAGGAAAAAAGAAGCAAACAAGAAAAAAATGCTTATCGCTACCTTCTCCACTTTGGATGGTTTTAAAAATCGGTATATGTATTTATTTTGAAGTAGAAATTTCAAAATTATTACAAAAAAAATGAAGAAAAAAATTAGTCGAAGACAGGAAAAAGTTCATTATATCCAACTTCATCACTTTTTTGGTTCACTATATCCACAAAAAGTAACATTATACGGGTATAGCAAGGCACGGGACTGAACATTTCGTTCACTATATCCGGGAGTTCACTATAAACAGTGTTCACTATAGTGAGGTTTGACTGTATTACATTTCCTACCTTTTCCTATAGTGCCAACTTCAGATCTGGTTTCTCTGAACTATGGTTTTGCTATTAGTATCTTTTAGCACTGACAATAAAATCATGCCTTGGCAGTATGTCTGTTTATTTAGACTAGGGTTTGTTTTATAAATTAATAATGATTTTTTTTTTCAAAATACATATTAAATTTTTATTTTAAACAAATTTTTACTTAATAGCATGATCAGAAAACTTTTCTGGAAAGGATATCTTTAATAATTAACTTTTTCTTGGAAAATTTTGTTCGCAATTGTTTAATTAGAAATACTAATTGTAAAACTTTTGAGTTCTCCTTTTTAATATTTCAGAATAAGTCAAGAGTACTTCCAACTATATAAAAAATATTTCCGCCATTGAGATTAGGTTGTAACTTATAAGTGGTAAATATGAAATTACTGTAAAGGGATCGAATATATTTTTTTATATATTTCAGTACATAAAACAGGGCTGTCCTTTTTAATTTAGCTTTTCGCTATTTTGATACTATGAAACTTGGCCTAATGACAATGTTTGGAAAGACATGGTAGTGAAAATTGGCATAGTTTTTTTAAGAAGCAAATTTTTTAGAAACTTTTGCTGCTAGGGTTAAAATTTCTGCTTAAAATATGTGCTGTCTGTTACAGCATTTTAAAATAACCCATGTTTTCTTTTGCTGAAATTCCTCCATAAAAAAGTTTTCATTCAGTTGTGAACTCTTCTGATTTAGCTGGAAATTTTTTTTATTTTTGCACCAGTTTTTCTCTTTTTCAAGTATTTTACCAAAACATTCATTGTTTACTTTTTCATTTTGTCAATCATTGTTTTTTTTTGTAGTTAAAGTTGTTATTTTTTATTTAAATCTGCAATAGTGTGTTACAACACAGTAAAGGAATGAATGCACTTAGAAATAATATAGTAGAGTGCTGTCTCTGTTTAACTGGATTGGTCAAGGACTATTTATTTCTCTACCTTTTTCTTCTCATTCTTCCTTTCTTTAACTGGAATTTATCTTTATTTTCAGATTCTCTAAAGGGGTAGAAAAATTGTTTCTTTCCTTCATAACACATACACTGTGTATATGTCATAAGTTTTCATTTTAGACCTTAATGAGGGCTGATAACTGAACTAAACTGACTAATAACTGAAAAGGGCACTATATCTCCAAAAAAAAGAGCATTGTATTTCACAAATATTTGCATAACTTTTGTGAAACCCAAAATATCCAAAGTTCTTAATTTTCTTATTAAACAAAATCTTATTTTTAAAGAGAAATATTTTAACTTAAAAATAATGCCTCAGTTAAATTCCCACATTTCATCAATCTCTTTCCAAATCAGCTTATTTCTCGAATTTTGAAAATGTGTGTCAAAATAATGTTTTAAAAATATTAGAATTTAAAAAATGAGGTTGAAAATGTTTAAAAATCGACAGGTAACTAATAACTTCTGAAAAAGCGATTATAAATTAATGCGGATTTACCATGGAATAGTCTGGAATCGAGCGTAGAAAAACATGAGTACTAAAATACAAAATTTGCTAGGCATGACATCGTATGAATTATATCGAAATAAGAAAAACCATATGAAAATAGTCAAGGAACGACAAATAGCTGTGGGAAAATTTTCCATAAACGACATGAATTTAAAATAGGATCTCTTCAAATTGGGCGTATCAAAAAGGGACCCTTTTGAATTTGAAATACACAGAGGAATTTTGGTAGGTATGGAAAAAAATTTAATCTAATTTTTAATAAAATGCTTTAAAAATTTTTATTCTAAAAAAAGGTATCACTTTACAAATTATAAATTATTACTAGTTCAATATGTTTTAATTTCAATTATTTTTAACGCTTGTGTCAGTTTATATAAAAACTGTGTAAAATCAAATGAATTTTTTTCTTAGTTAAAGAAAAAATTATAAAAAAATTAAAAATGGCTTGAAAAAAAAATAGATTGGTAGTTGAAAGTGACCCGTGTTTTTACCTTACTTGACAGTGCAACTCTGCATGTATTAAATTAAATAACTAGTGAAGAAAGAAACAATCTCAGTCATCCCATTAAACAAAATAAACGAATAACACATTGCTTTGGTATACTAATATAATACTTTTTCTTCTAAAAGTTGAGCTATTAATTTATTTGCTTAATTAGTTTGTTAATATAAAAAAATTTTAGAAGGCATTGGTATATCCTAATTTTCTATGCTTTTTTTTTTTTTTAATTTTAAGGACTTCTAAAAAATCTGGATAAATATTGTGTATGTATAGTTTTAGGTTTTGAAGGAGAAATTGACCTTCTAGCACAGGGATGAGCAAACTTTTTTGGTCGAGGGCCAATCATCGAAAAAGAAAAGTTTGTTGGGCTAAGTAAAAAATTCTAAAATAACGAAACAATATACAAGCTTTAATTTAAATATTTTATGAGATGAATAAAATTGCGATTTTATTTTTAATAGTTCCTTATATTGAGGTTCCAAGTGAGATGTACTTATTTTAAAGCTAAATGCTTGTCTCTTTGTCTACTTCTGAATTATTTTTTCTTTGGTTCATAGTTGAAAACGCTTGTTCACATATATAACAGGGTGCGTAGCATTTTTGAAAAGTGCTTAAAGGTGCTTATTTTCAATTTTTAAAAGCCCTTAAAGGTGCTTTTTTCATTGGGTGTTTTTAAAAAGTGCTTAATTTTCCCTTTTTCAAAATTAGATTTTGCAATGTTGATTTTCGCTGCGAATTATGCAAAAAGGCACAGTCCACATTGTTCTCTTCAACGTTTTCACAATTAATTCAACCCCAATCTATTTCGCCGCATTGTCAGTCCGTAGCGTATGAAAGAGCCATTCATTTTACATGATTCAAAATTTCGTTATTTTCGACAATCGTCAAAAACAATGCCAAATTATTTTTTTTATTCATGACGGTTAAAACAAAATAAAACAGTCAATTGTCAAAAACTTTCCTACCTTGCCTAATTATGATATTTTTTTTAAGTGCTTAAAAATATTTTTTGAGTGCTTAAAAGGTGCTTATTTTTTGTTGAATAATTTGGCTACGCACCCTGTATAAGATGAAGCAAACATAGCTCACGAAAAATATCACATCCCATTGTAGTTCCCTTTAAAGGACGTATGCACGCCAGTTCCTCGGTAATTTCGAAGTTCTCATCGACAGCTTTTATAAATAATACTAATTGAGCAGTATTATTAATGTCTGTGCTTCTATCCATAGCTATTGAACAAATTATAAATTGTGCAATTTTTGACTCTAATTGTGATGTCAAATTTTAAATCGATGGCTTAGTTTCTAGAAGTCACCCGTTTATCACGATAAGCTTACAGTTTTAAAATTATTTTTCATATCAAGACATAAAACATCACTAACTTAGAGCATACATTATTTAAGAAACTCCCCATCACTGAGAGATTTATTTTTTAGCAATATTGTATGTTACAATGTAACTTGCATGCGTAATTGCTTCTTAGACAGTGTTTATCTTGAAAAAAATTTGTCGTCGTGATAATTCTCTAAGAAGACTTTCTGCATTTTGTCTTCTTTAACATTCTGACGTTGCTTCGTAGTTGGTATTCTTCTGCTTGACTGTATTATGCCGGTTAATGTTGTATCCGTTAAAAACTGCTACAGCTTCATTGCAGATAAGAGATACTGGTTTATCTTTTGCAACTGTCGAAAAATATTTCCAAGTTCATTCATCATTGAAAGAAGGGCAATCTGAATCAACTTCGCTTTTAGTAGCCATTTTGGAGTTAAAAAGTTTTACAAATAACTCAAACAAGCACTAACTGTTTTATATATTCAATAATTCCCCATTATTTACATTAATGTTATATGTGTTCAATCCTTCCACATGTAATAAATAGTATTAGAACTCGCCCCGGGAAAAATCCACTCATTGGAACTTAAAATGCGCAGCCTGCCACACCTGAAGTGCGATTCACATGTATTAGATGCCGTTTGTTTGCTCCTCGAGAAAGACAAACGCTCTTTGGTGCCAATCTACGGCTATTCTATAAAGATTTTCTGCTTTCAACATTTTACCAATTGAAGCTATCTCTGTTAGCTATTTGCATCAATTTATGTTTTGTAGAACAAGAATAGAGTAAAAAGGCCATCATTACTTAGTTAAAAAAGAACAAAAATAGCTGTAAACGAAGTAGACGAGAAAATGGATGTATATTGTTTATATTCGCCATGGATCGGCAAGTTAAAATTCTATTCGCAAGCCGGGGGCCGTAGTTTGCCCATCCCTGTTCTAGCACAATGTACAAAGGGGTATAGGTCAAAATAGGTTTGAACCACTAGTTTACCATTTCATTTCAATTAAGATTAGTACTAAATATGTGAAAATTTGATAGTATAAACATAAGGTATTTAGAATGATCTCTCTCCTTTGGTTCAGTATTTCAGCAAAACAGAACTGAAAAATCAACAATGAAATTCATGTCAGCAGCTGGAGAAATCTGAGAATTTTTTTGTCTGAATATTTGGTAGCTACTATTTCTTACTTGGGTTCTAAAAAACCTATTTCTTTCGGGGTGGTTTTTCCTGCCGTGGAAGAAATTTTTCGTCCCCAATGTGATGAATTATAATGTATATTACATGATACTATAATTATTTTTATTACTATTATACATTGATTTTTAATTTTTGTAGCAAAGCTCAACAAATTTACCTCCTATAAGACCTCAGCTGGAAGAACCTGTTAATGATAATTCAAATAGTTTGGAGCTTCCAACTGTTCCATCTCAACTACCTCAATTGTCACAGGCTTCAGCTGATTCCAATTCTTCTGCTTCTTCTCCAGAGACTACTCACTCAAACAGTGCTTCCCCACCTCCACCTACTCTTAGTCCAGAGCCTGAGAACAGCTCAATGGCTGCTCTTACTCAGTTCACAAATCCAATGTCTTTGTCACAAGCCATGGCTATGGGATATGCACAGCATACACTTTCTAATTTTGCTCTTCTTCATAATCCTACTACATTTTCGTCTTCATCATCATCCAATTACCTTACTCAAACAAGCCCTACTTACAACCAGGCATCCATGCAAGCTCCATTTAATTGGAACTAAACTCATCTCATCCCATGCTTTTTAAAAGTAGCTTTGATTGGTCTTTTTTTTTTCAGAAACATTGCTATAATGTTATGATCTTCTCTTACTTTCAATGAAAGTTTTCTTATTTCCCCCTTGGTATCAAATGCTTGTGAAGCATATTATGTGAATTTTTAAATGTGCTGTTACATTGTTTTAATATTTTTTTAGAAATGACAATATTTGCTGTGAGTTTTATATAGTGCTCGATTTGTAAGAATCAAATGATCCATTACATATCGGAAATTTGAAAATATTTTATCTCACATGAAAGGGAAAGTTTCCCTTTAAGACTTATACAACTAGTTTTTTCATCTTAATAGTTTAAAACTAGAATTTAATTTTCGTAACAGATTATTTTTTTATTATTAAATTTTGGTTCTGGTATGCCTCTCCCATAATTGGGCTTTGTATATACATTATGTAGAATTTTAAGTGTATCTTTTGCTATTTCAAAGCATTTATTTAAATATTAATTTTTTTTATGTAAGAAACTTAATATATATATTGGTCTAAGCATGTAAGAAAATTTAGATTGAAATATTTTATTTCTCTGATTTGAGTTTTGAGAAACTCTTATAGCCCTCTCATGTTTTATTTGATTTTGTATTATTTTTTATATAGTGATTAATTAGATAATACGATTCCATAAGCATATTTTAATAAATTTGAGCTGAAAAATTTGTCAAAAAGTATTTAGAAATTGAAGATTTAAAAATCTGCATGTCATATTCTAATGTTAACCTAAACTGTGTTATGAAAAGCACCTTTGCATATTGTATGTGAAAAAAATTTTCTTGATGAAAAAAGTGTATTTGTGGAAATTTTGAAAAGCAAAAGAGCTAAATTGATCCCTTTATGAAAACAAATTTTTAATGTTGGAGAATTCATATTTGAATTTGCAATAATAATTCTTCAATCATTCATTTTAAGAAGAAAAATAAACTTAAGGATAAGAAAAGTCAACTTTACTTTGCATTTTCGAAAATATTCTTTTCTACCAATAGTTCCAAAAACATTAAAAACTGTAAAAACTGTTTCCTCTTCAAACTGATGATTTCAAAGTAATTTTTACAATTCTGGCAACATAAAAGAAAGAACTTAGTCTGCTAATTTTAGAAAACTTGTTCCAAATATTAATTCAATAGGAATTTATTGTTCCTAATATCAATTCAATGTGAGGATTAATTTATTCTAGCCTTATATGTTGTTTGCTTAGAAGCTTATTATTTCTAGGAGTTTTAAGTTCGTTTAACATTCTTAAAATCATAAGCATTAAAATAACATTAGACTGGTCTAATTTTTATCAGTTTCCATTAATTAAAGTGATTTTTAATGATTTTCTTTTTATTGAAAAGCATTGAACTTAGTGAAAAACTTAGCTATCACTTGATCTTTAAATGGATAAAAAGATTTTTCCTATTTGATTACATAAATGATTGCAATTTTCATGCAACTTAGAACTTTGTTCTAATAAATTTAGGACTCTCCATCATTACTTTTATAAAAAATACTCCAAAATTAATATTTAGCTATCTCGATGAATTGAGTCATCAAGTTAAGTTTCTTTAACATTTAGAAATTTTCGTTTTTTAAATTATTCATTTTAATCTGATCTGATAAGCATCTAGTATGGATACCATGTGATTAAACTCAATTAATACATCACATATAATTTTGTTCATTTCATTTTCAAAATTATAATTTTGAAATAAAATTCAATTTTTAAAAAAAAAATTCATTTATATTTTATTAACAAAAGCTATTTTAATATTATTATGTTTTGTTTTCGTTCCATACTTATAAGAATTTTATCAATTTATCTTATATTCAATCAATTTGAATTAACCACTTCACTATTATGTCAGGTTTTTCATATGTGTTAAGTCTCTGATGTTTTTAAACATAATATTTATACATATTTTAATAATTTTATTATTTTAATTTGTCGCATTTTTGTATTGTGTATTCTAATTAATGTCCTACATTTTTAGAAGTATTGCTTTCTAATAATTTTTTAGACGTTCACCCTTGTTCCTGTTGTAGCTTGTATGAATGCTTTGTCTGCATGATTGTATGACTGATTGGTATACTGTCTACTCAGTATGATCAGTATACACAATATGAATGTGTGTGCAGTTCATTACCATTGATGCTAAGGCCCATTCATGAAAGCAGTAGTAATTTTTTTAGTTGGCAATTTTATTTGATACACACAGGAGAAAAAAATTTAACATTGGAAGCACTTTATCAAAATTAACAATTTACATAGCAAAAAAAAAGATGAGAAAGCAGTCATAGCTCCCAAATTTTGTTATGTAGACAGCTAGCTATTGATATATATGCAATCACTTCAATCATAAAATCTATTTTAATGTTAAGTGTTCCTCCTACGTATTTTTGTAATATTTTGGGAGGTTGAAATTATTGACAATAATTTTTATTCCATATATTTCTGAATTGTTCAATGTCAAACTGTAAGCTGTTGTGAAAAAGTCTTTCAAGTTTCAATAGAAACGTCTATTTCTTAGATTTTCAATTGTGTTTCAAATATGCACTCTACTGCAGTAAGGAGAAACCTTGTAACTATTTCCATGTAAAAATGAAGATCAGTGTTTAAAAAGTATTAATTTTTTTGTTGGACGATTTTTAAAATAAAAACTCCTAAAATTATGTCACTTGTCATGCATGTCCTTTACACCAAATTCCATGAAAATAAGAGTGCAATCAAAACTTTTATTTTATCAATCTGACATATATAAATTACTACAGTCTATTGTGAAACAGGAGGTTAAAGCTCCACGATTTTCTGACCATTAGCCATTAGTATGATTGCTGTTTTGTAGTTAGCATTGCACACGTCACCTTTACTTCCCACTCAAGCTGAGTTTGGCATATAATGTTCCTCTCGTCAGTAAGAACTATTTTCCTTCTAACATTTACCTCTGGTGAAAGAATTTTAAAAAAAAAAAAATCAATTATCCGTTAAACTCAGTATGAAATCAATAAGTGAAAAAAGATACAACTATTTGTTCTGTCTTAGAAATATAAGAAATCTTCTTCAGAGATAAAATCAAAGATTTGACTAAATCGAAAAGCCAGGAGAGTAAATGAGTCAGGTTCACTTTTCAACATTTTTTAATTCTAACAGCATTTTGGGAAACATTTATTTAAATTTAGCCGTTTTTACCAATTCAGACCTTATAAACACTAATTTTGATGATGGCATACCCAAACCTTGACCTGGAGCTCAAAGCTACAGGAGTACATCCATGCCTGTAGTAAATTTACTTTACAACATTTGGCACTGCAAGAAACCTCATTTTATCATTTGTTTCGTCATAACAGTTCAGTAAAATAACTATCTATATATGATAAATAGGGAAATAAACAAATACCCATTGCAAAAAAATGAAAGGGTATGTGTAGTAAATTAGTACTCTTAAGGGAAGCGTTACAAACATAAATTGAAGTTGAAACATAGTTGAATCCAACTATTTGAAATTTTATGAATTATTTTTTTCAGTGTTAGTAAACTAAATGTTTTGAAATAATTTAGATTTTTTTTAAAAATATTTATTAGCTTTCGTCTATATGACCTTATATATCTTTAAATTATTTTTGTTAAGTGGTGGACAAAAGTCTTTTACTTCTAATTTTTTAAAACATTCCTCTTGCTACCACTAGGAGAAAATATTTTCTGAAACTACAGAGAATCTGTAGTAGTTAGAATCTCTGAGTTGATCTATGTTGTTTTTTGAGTAAGTTTTTGAAATCAAAATTTCCTCTTGAAGGAAAATTGAGCTTTTTGTTTTGCAATTTTTTGAAATCAAATCGTTTCTAGATAATATCCAATGTATCTATTTATCCAATATAGATTCTTAAGAATTTTCCTTATTTTTACCTTGTCAAATATCTTAATATTGACTATTAAACCTACTTGGTATTGATTGTAGGTTAAATAAACTATGAGATTCACATCTAATTTAAAGTAGCTGTCCACTAATGGTTGAATATTGAAAAGAAGAAAATGAAAATCAAAGGTATATTTTGTTTCTTTTTAGAAGCTCTCGGCAAGAACAAAAGACAAGTGTAATTTTAAACTGCCTGAGTTAGTTTCTTCTCATGCACAGTTAAATTTCCTATTCCTGTTGATTTCAAATTGATGTTATAATTTTTTGAAATTAGATCTTTTCTAGTTGCAACCATAGGTTTTAGACTACCTGCTGCAAGGATTCCTTTTACAATCCTCCTGACAAATTATGCACTTCTGCCTATCTATTTTGACCATTGTCTGTTCACTTTTTATTGAGCTTGTCTTGATATTCATTTAAAGTTATGGTATTTTAGTTAAGTTCATCACTGTGTTTTCTTTTCCACTAATACTCTATATTCATCTTATTGATAAAATTGAAGTAGTGAAAAGAGGATTCCTTCTAAGTCATTTGATACTGTGTGTTTAAAACTATAACCTCTCATATTGCTATTTATTTTTGCTCGAGTCATAAAAAAATGCTTGTCAAAAGCTTTATATTAACACACAACAGTGCACTCTTTCAAACTTATACATACCTCTCAGTGAGGAAGTTAAAATTTAACCTGACAATGTGAACACACTTAGCACTGCTCACAACCCTTTGGGCAAGCTTTTGGTTGACAGAATTAACAAACAAATTGATCAGCAACATGTTAAAAAATAATCTTTTTTTTTGGGGGGGGGGGGGGAT